AAAACAAGTTATGGGTACATATTTGCATAACTTTTTAGGTCTTACGATATGACAAAAATTATGGACAATCCATAGAAAAGCCGCACCTGACTAAAAGCCGCAGGGTTCAAAGCTTGTGCAAAAAGTAGCGGCTTATAGCCCGACAATTACGGTACTTGTGTTTTATATACTGACAGAGAGTACTGTGACTAACAGGTGTACAGCACAATGCAGACGCTTTTCAAACTGCCTCTTATGAATTCCTTCATGTAACCATGTAAACAGCAGCAGGTAAGAAAAGCCTTGTTTTTGAAATTTGGCTTTACTGTTTTGCATTTTACTTTATTCCACTGAATATTATTAGGTTATTACTACCATTCTTCTTAATTTGGCATTAAAAAGAGCAGTTGAAGTTAAGGAAGTAGCAAAAATATTTGATCTCGCAGAAATACAGCTTTCCAAAAATGGTTTGCCTTCAGCCTTAGCTGCATCCTTTATGCTCTCAAATGCTGACATGGTGGCAATGGCAGTCCATAAAAGTAAAGCCCATCATTTTCTTTTTTTCTAAAACCCAGTGGTACAAAAAACATTTTTCATATTTTTCCAGGGACACATGGATAGTTTTCTTTCACCTATTTCATGTTTTTGCCACATAACTGCCATGACACAGCTGTGATGTGCATTCCAAACTGATCGACGGAGCTTTTGTTGTGTTTGTGGTTAAATATTTTTGAAAAGTGCTCTGGACAATGCTCATGTGAACCATTTATAGTTGTCTAGAAAAGTGAACAGAAGCCAGCAGTGATGTTTGTGAGCCTCTATCTATATCTAGGTGTATATTTAATGTGCAGGCTCTAAATAAATTAAACTTATCATCTGTGTTTTCAGTATATTTAGACAGCAAAGCTCAGCTCCAGATGTGGCACTTTCATCACTGTGTATCTCTGTGTGTGTGTTCTGTCCTCCTACCACAGACAAGGTGGCTCATTTCTCTCGGCTGGGTGACGTGGAGGTGAATGCCGGGCAGAATGCCTCGTTCCAGTGTGTCGCCACGGGAAAAGTCTCTGAGGCCGAGCCCTTCCTGCTGGAGGTGAGACAGAGGGATTGTGCACATTAGCGTGATTGTGTTTTCTTTGTATTAATTATCTTCGCTCGCACAGTCAAGGCCACAGCTAAGCTTCTACAAAACACCTAAAATGAGGCCCACGTCCTCCTGAAACTCTGATACATAATCTACATACATAATAATTTAAATCTACACTTTTTATTGAATAGTTGTTTTTCTTTAACAAAACCTAGAGAGTAACTAGATTTAAGATATATGATATAAACAGGGTTGTCTTTTTAAATGAATTGTGATGATGTATGAAAATTTCACAAATGTTGTTGTGATTTAATGTAAATTTATGTGTTACCGAAAAGTCTTGAGACTCGATGCCCTAGCTGCAAGCAGGGACAAAACGGTGGTATCTGTGATTATCCTTCATTATTCCAGTTGTGCATTGGCATTTATATTAGTTCAGTCCACCAGAGCACAAAACCTTGAAAGAAGTAAATGAGATTTTTTCCGATTGGGTTGATGTGGAGTTTTGAAACGCACCATTAAACATTTGCTCACAGTGAATTTAGGAATACTGAGGACTGCAGTGCTAAGTGTAGACTGCATCGTTGTTCCTTTTCAATATGGTGATTGTTTCAGATTTAGAGATTTGTTTGTGATTTGGATTTCAAACATAGCAGAATACAAACCAGAGCCTAAAAAAATGTCCATTAATTCTCCCAAATGCAGCAATTTGTCTCCTTCCAGATCTTCTTCTTGTGCATCTCTTGGTTTCTTAATGCTGCTGGTGCTTTTAGATTGCTCCATGAAAGTCACGCACTGACCTTGCACTGTGCACGGTGCAGTGGACTTAAAACTTGCTTGAAGCACAGAAATCAGCGTCTCTTTCAAACTGCTCCAATTGCCAGATTGTCAATCTGAATTTCATTGTGTGATCGTGTGCCAGCATACAACACACTGAAAACACACCAGCACAATCTGTGGGACATCCAATGAGAAATCTAATAATAGAACCTGCAAAGAAACAGTTGACTTTAAAGGGGAAATTAGTCTAGGTCAGGGATAGTTTGGGATTTTTAAGGGAAAATTCTTTTTATTTACACGCCATGCTAGCTTTTCAAGTGGACAGGGGCTTTGTATCATGAGATTGACATATTGGGTATTTAATCACCACTTATTGTGTTCCAGTGGCGGGCCTATTTTCAGATTGACACAACACAGCTTAACAAACACAACCACATTTTCACCCTTAGCTGAAGAACATCAAACATCATTTCTAATCAGAAGCAATAGCAATCCTGGATTTCCAACTAAAGTCTGGATATGGTAGAGGGGTGTTGAACTTGAATGACTT